ATTACTGTGCTAATATCTTTCTTAATGTCTTTATACTTGTAGTAACTTCTTTTGCATTGAACAACTTGACCATGTAGCATACAACCTAGCTACTGTAAAGACAAGTCAAATCCGATAAGGGATGGATCAAGCTGAATCTAGTGGAAGCGAATATATAAAGACAAAGGTACACCATAGAAAGATCTTAAAAGCTCACTAAGGTGGTCGATTTTTTGCCTGAAGAATGTAAACAAAGAGTTTTCCACAAGTAGTTACATTTGTGGTGTCGTGATGCTTCTATTAAACATTGGTAGAAAACTGTCTCTGTTAAAACATTGGTTGGTTCTGGCAAATGAAAAGCTTGACGCCTGAAAAAAGGAAGACGTGAGCTTATTTTCATGGTCTCTTGCTTAACTTTGTCTATCTATTCTTTTTATCTCTTTTACTTGTCTTTGTTCCTTACCATGAGTCATCCTCATTTTTTTGTTTTTGTCTTTCCGTTAATAATAAATAAGATAAAGACGCAGTGGTTATCTTTCATGAGAAGAGAGAGGAAATGTTTACTCTTGAAAAATGTTCATAGTCACCTTTCAGATTTGCCTTACATAGACAAGTTCTTCTTCGAGTTGATAACAGCTTGTCTGTTGCTTTTTTGTTGATTGTGGATTCCATCAACACGGAAATGCCTAGAAAAGTTTTTGTTTTGCAACTTGCACAGGAAGAATCACTGAAATAGTCAAAAGTTTGATTGTGACATTACAACCACTACAAAAAAACAAGCATTATTCCGACGGAATTTCCGACGGACGTAATATCCATCGGAAATTTCCGACGGTATATCGACGGATTTCCGAGCAAAATGAATCCGTCGGAAATCCGTCGGGTTATTGTGACGGATATCCGACGGACACGGAAATCGTCGGTATTCCGTCGGAAATCCGTCACAATAAACCGACGGATTTCCGACGGAAATAAGCTGTCGTAATTTTCCGACGACTTTCCGACGGAAATCCGATTTTCCGACGGAAATCCGACTTTCCGATGTCGGCAAAGTTTGAGTGGTCAGCTCATACCGACGGAACTAATTCCGTCGGAATTCCGATGTCGGCAAAGTTTGAGTGGTTACCATTTCGTTAGCGTTGGCCGATGGGATTGGTGGGGTGTTATGTCAGAGGTTTTTGACGGATTTCC